AGTTCCCATACCTTTGAAAAGTTTTTGTTTCCTTGGGATTCCCAACTGCACTAAAAAAAAAATAAATTCAGTCCTTGTCCAACTCTTGCCTGCATTTCAAGTAAATAAGAGACACAAACAATGCATTTCACATATGATAGTAAGAGGGAAAGTACAATGGTGTGACAGGATAAATCCTTTCAAAAGAATGTAGAACAACACTGACAACAAATGAATTACACTCAAAGAACAAGCAAGAAGAAAAGATGCAAAGTACGGAAAGAGCCTGGGTAGGGAAAAAAATTTGCCCCTTATATTTTCTTTTCAAGGATATAATTTAATGTTTATTTACATACTGATGCACTTACATTTATAAAGATAACTTCTTTATAAATTTAACTCATACAGGGAAAGCTGGAGGTCTGTGTGATAACAGTGTAGGTTTTTGATCAAATTTCACTTTCATGTGTGTAAATAAGAAGGGGATAAAAATTAAATTTTGTCTCAGGCTTTTTGGTCCCTTGCTATCTCTCATACTTAAACATGAAGTCTGACAAGGTCAAATGCCCTTTGTAACATTTGCCTTCTCATCAGGCACAGGACAGCAAAAATAGTCAAGGAAACACCAATAAGATAAGAGCAAGGCTAAGCAACCTTTTAATTTTTCCTCTAAAACACATAATATATTGATCCATCTAAGATAACTATAGATGTCTGAAGCTGGACCAGGCATCAGAGAAAAAAAAAATACATTTTTAAAGATCCTCTTATCTATTTTATACCTTATACTTTAGGAAAAGAAAACTTAATTGACCAGATTTTCACCAACTTTAAAGGGAACCCATCTGTGGCATGAAAGGCTCTTTGGTTAAGTTTCCTAAACACAAATGTCTAATATTTATCTGACCACTAGCTGTCTCCCCTGAAGGGTGCATCCTTCTTGTAAATCCTGTTCATCAGCACTGTAACAGTGTCTCAGATATCCCAAGACATCTTAAATAATGCTAGACACTGTATTTAGATGACCAAATCAAGTACTGATTGTTTACTAACATTTACTCAGATGAGTCGAAGTAAACATCTCCATGAAGTGAATCTGCATTCATTTCCCCATTGAAGTTAAAATGCTGCCTCTTAGTATTCATGCCATCTGCAGAGTATAGCTAGCTAATGAGGCTCAAATTGTCTGGGATAAACGTTTTCTGAGTGCACTTAAGATGACTTAGACCACAACATGTTGCCTCTGCAAGAGAAACTTGAAGCTTAAATAACAGAAACTAATGAAACTGAAAACTTTTACTAAAATGAATTAAAAGTATTGTATATAACTTTTTTCCTAGAAAAATCTGATTTTCTTCATAATGTTTTCAAAAGTTAAATATCTAATCTGAGTGAAAACTTAAAAATGCTGTGGTATTTTTAATGTTAAAGTCTAGAAAAAACATGTGAATAACAGATGATTGTACTGGAATATTGTACTAACTGTCCTCCTCTGCAATCCAGGTGTTGCCAGTATAATTAATGGAAGATGTGTGTGTGCAGAATTTGGACAGTTTGGGAGATACTGAGCTTGTTAGCCATATGAACAACTATCTGTACAATAAGGAACACCTAAATCCAGCATGCTGTAAAAATAATTAAGGTTAGACTGAATTAGCAAAGCAAATAATTATGATCTAGTAAAAAAAAAAAAAAAGAAAATAAAAAAAAATAAACTTATTAGTATTTTGAAAATAAAGATTTGTAATTTAATAGCAAAAGTAGACGGGATTATAGAAATGGAGGTTGGACCAGACCACCTCCAGAGGTCACTTCCAACCTCAACCATTCTCTGGTTCAGCGCCAAACTTCTATCTGAAATAAGTAGAAAAGATTATTTCCTCACAGGAAAACCTTTCGGGTTTATATAGCCACACAATGCATAGCAGCATCATGTTCTTAATTTGTACTTGATTAAGATAATTGGTGAAGAGACTAAGCAGAGGTCTCCACACCCTCTCTGTTGACTGCAAAAGAGACTGATGGAATGCAAGTGGGACGTCTGTTCTGTGAACATATCTGTGGTGGGACTCAGAACAGAAATCCTCAGACTGCAAATTCATATAATGCACACCAGAAATTCACATTTGTTCCTGTTTCTTCTGCCACACAGCAGTAAATATCTCAGCTTGATTTCATCATTTTTCAACATTCATCTTGTATTTTTTGCCAGCAACAGAGAGTCTGTTTTCCCCCATGTTAATAAAGGTTTCATAATAAACTCTAGTGATCTGTGTTCCACAATCCCCAAGAAAAACTATTTACTCAAATATATGGTAAAGCCTGTCTAATATTTACTGATGTCAGTGTCACAATAAGAGTGCTTGTACACATGGAAAAAAAAAAAAAGAGGAAAAAAAAGGAAAATAAAAAAAGGATATATGATTTCTTTTCTTGCATTAACTATACTGAAATATTGAAATAATTTGGAAAATCAATCTATAACACTAAAACCAAACATGCAGATAACAATTTTAAATATCTCTTTCTGCCTGAAATGTGGGATAGATTAATGAGTTTATAGCAAGTCATGTACTGTATATTTATGTCTCATGAGTGGGGTATTTATAAATGGAAATCTGGTTCAAAAGATTTTAATGTAGTGATGTTAGTAGTCATTGTGTTTTTAATATGGATTTTCATTGTCTCAAGCATTCTCACTGGAAATGTTAGGTAGATGATACAGACATGGTTCTACTGAAGGTGAAGATTTAAGTATGTGAAACTATGAAGAATTACCACCAGCTTAGGAAGAATGTGAATTTACATTGACTGTTCTGTGATAACTGCCTGGATACCTATACATATTCCAGCATACAGCAAAGTAGCCACCTTCTTCACTGAGGATTAAGAGACCTTGTTTTATCATGTAGCCAAACAATACATGCAAGTACTCAAATGAAAAAGCCAATGTGATGTACACTCACACCTTCATTTAGCTCCTTGTTCCTGTTCATGAAGTACAGTACAGTACAGTACAATGAAACTTTCTCATGCAGGTGACCAGACTCAATTACGTGTGTGTGCCTGTCTGTTTACCTGCACTGGGTTAGATTGTGGTTGTAGGTGAGTAGTACGCATTTATGTTTATGAATGAGTATAATTTTTATATTTCTACACATTTTAGAGATGCTTTGTTTAAGATTATGATACCAACATTTCCAATTCAATATCCTGATTTTAAAGAACTTATAAATTAATGATAGAATGTTTTGCCAGGCTGAAACTTAGTTGTGTCATCAGCCTAGGAAAGATGTTTCTTAACAAATTTGTAAAGAGAAATGCATTAAATTCACTCATCTTTTTAGCAACCTGAAAGTATAGAATTGATATTTCATTGTGTTTAAATTGTTATGGATGATATTCTCATATAATTCAAAGGTGTTTCTTTTAAAAAAACCACTAATTTTAGGACAACCATTTTAAGTGCTTACCAATGACTTGCATTATTCCATTATCTTATGCTAATGAAAAATCTATCAGTTGGGAAAATCTGTAGATGAAGTCCTACTGAAAATACAAGATGAGCTTGTAGACACAATATTTACTCTAGGGAATTAGTTCAGAGATATAAAGCCAAAAGCTTAAGTACTATTCCTCATATCACCTGTTGTGATGTTATAGATAAGTCAGAAAGGCCTTCAAAAGACACTTGAACACCTTGAGTAAGACCTGTGAGTGACTGTTCATCTATCTTTATGAATCTGTGTAGGAGTGCTTACAGTCTTTTGCACACCTCCACCTAGGTAGGTCTCAAACAAATATTGTGTCCTCCTAGTTAAACAGAGAATGTTTCATGCAGTGTTTTCTGATGTAATTTGGGCTAATGCACTATTACATTATAAAATAAAACCAGGAAGACTTATAAGTGCCACCAGACCTGAAATGGTTGTGCCCATGTTCTGAGCTGCTGGAACACAAACCAGCTCTGGCCCAAGCATCAAACGTAGCAACACGCAACCTCCTCACAGGTAAAGCAGTTCAAGCTGAGTAGATGACACATGCACCCAAGGCCTCTTGTTCAAAGTTAATCACATTCAGTCCATGTAGAGCATGATCAAAGCAAACTCACATAGAAATTAATATATTCTTAAGCCTGGCAGAGACCCTGCTACCTAATGAACTAGAAGAGCACTAGGACACCAGCACTGGAAGGACTCTACCACAGGGATCCATACAGACTTTTGCTTTGTATGGTGCTTTAAAAAAAAAAAATATATACATATATATATATTATGTGGTAAAACCAATGGGAAGCTAGAGACATGAAAAACAATGGCTTCTGAATAAAAGTATTCAATGTGTTAAAACAAACAAGCAGAAAAACAATAGCAGAGAGTGAGGCAAGACAGTAAACCAAAGGACTGGAGAACAGAGACAGAAGATTATGGTCTTATTATACCGTATACCTTATTATATACTAACAGAGCACTGAAAAAGAAAGAAAAAAAAGAAAAAATTAAACAAATACTACTGTTGGAGAGAGCTTTCTTGTCTTTCTGCCTCCCTCTCCCAGCCATATGCATTCAATTCTGATTGTATGTGGCCATAATATGGTTTCATGCTAGTAGAAGACTTGTTGTATTCAATGGTTTATTGAGGTCTATAACAAAATGGTACATGATTAATACATCAGAAGATAGTTGTCTAGAGATCATATAGTTTATGCCTCATCTTACCAGAGCATAGAAGACCAGAGTTAAGATAGTTGCGTCTGTATCCCAAAAGGGAAATCCTGACTTTACCACAGTCAAAATTATATAATTCCTGTCAATCTCAATGGGTCTAGACTTCATCTAGAATTTGTGTGGGGGCCTAAAAGTGATTCAAATCCCCATATAATTTTATGTGCAGAAAAGACTTAGCAGCACAACCATACTGCCCGCCATGGAAGTCTTCATGCATCTTCTGTGCATGTGTGTACCTAAGGAAGGAAGAGAAGGTAAATGTAGAACCAAAGTACTACTTGGTCTTTACCATACCTGAGGATAGCTGTCAGTCCTTGGAAGAACAGATATATCATAGGTGGCAGCAAAATGGCTCTTAGCTTGCTGGATTTGACCATAGCGTTCTCTTTTCCTCCATTTTGCTCTTCGATTCTGGAACCAAACCTATAGTATATGAGGGAACAGTCATCAAAGTAAACTCATTTATATGCTGTGCAAAGAGTTTCAGGAAAAAAAGCCAAGAGATTTTGGGCAGTAGTTTTGAAATTTTCTGTTTATCTAAGAAAGGGAAGTTCTCTGCCTGAGGATTAATTTCTTGCATTTTCGATCTTCTTAATTTCAGACCTGATTAAGTTATTTCTGGGTTTGGGTTTGTTTGGTTTTTTTTTCTAAGTACATATTATTACCTTTCTAGTGTCTCAAAAAAAAAAAAAAAAAAAAAGCAAAAGAAAGATCAATCTGTCAGGCAGTGCTAATCTTGACAAAGTTCTGTTCTGTAGAGGAAAATTACCAAGTAGCAGCAAGTCAAATTATAAAGAAACTTTCTCTTAATTTCACATGCTCACTGACTTGATATGACTACCTATCATCTGCCTCCTAGAGGTAGACATAATCTTTATCAAGTGCAGTAATGAAAATACAGGAAAAGCTGGCACCAGGACAGTAGTCTGCACTGCAGAAAAAGTTTATATAAGGAAGGCTAACAGGGCAGGAAGATAATAAAAAATCAGATCACTGTTTTAAAACTATTGTGACATTTTTTTCATGTTTGTGTTAGGTGATACCTATTTATGACAATATAAAACTAAAGAATGGCACTTTATGTTTAGACTGTGAAAAAATTTAGAACTGAAACAATATCTTCTTGTCAATTAAAAGCTATTTTCTTTATGTTTAAATAACCTTCAGACTGTTCTGTAATATTTTGAGTGTTGGGTGTTATCTCAAAACCTATTACATGTACATTTCTTATTGTGACTGATATCTGCCATTGTCCTGTAGTCTTCAAAAAAACTTTTTCTTTCAAACAGTTTAGTTTGGACTGGCTAAGACTTGCAGAGATTGCTAAGAAAAGTAACTGTTCCTTTATAAAAGTAATACTATCTGACTAAGTCTTTATTGTTTAGCTGTGAGCTTTTCTTTTTACAGAATTCACACTACTAACAGAATATTTTTTTTTTTTTTTTTTTTTTTTATGGAAACAATGCCATTGGTTAGTCTTCCTGCTAAATGGATCATGAATCCATTTTGATAGATACATACATTAGTAGATTTCTTTTTTTGGTGGTATAGACACTGCCTGTGAATTCCATTCTGAAGGATATTTTCTGATCCTTGATGGTGGTATATTCAAAATAACACTGCTTGGTTTATAATTTATTTTTTGCCTTAATCTTTGGAGAGCTCAACTGTCTTTTGATGCTGCTTCGGCAACCAGGGCATAATTTTACTCATTTAATTCCCAAGGACTTGTTGCAAATTTAGTATTGCAATCTTTTAAAACGTACTCAGAAATCACAGCAAGACCTGTGCATGCAACAGTCAAGTATATATTGTTAGGGACCATGTTGGTAAAATTGTAATACTTATGATGTCTGAGGCTCAGCAAAAAGAAAAGAAAAAAGGAAAAAAAAAATGTCCTGTCTCCACAGGAGGCATCAAGAGCAGGTTAAGGGAATTTAGTCATGAGGCTCTTTCATTGAAAAAAGGCCTTGACAATCTCCTTAAAATGGGTGCCAATTACTTCACTGACGTGCAGCAGGAAAGAGAACAACTTAGATAAATTAGGTTCAGGTTGGCTCTCTCTGCATGTATGCAGGACAAATATTAAATTGGATGTTGATGAAATGGCGGTGAAGGGAAATGGGTAAGGTATCCAGCTGATCACTCTGCTAAACTAAATCAAACAATTTGCTTGAATTTATAGTAACTAAATGAGAAAAAAAGCACACATTTTTTTCCTTTGACAATCCCCCAAAATGTTTCTGTTTACATCACTTTACTAGAAACTGACTCTTGGCAGAGATAAAGTAACCATTTGCCCCCACAAAGCAATGTAAAAATCTGCTGCTTGTTATCCTTGAATTGCCAGATGCTTGCCTCTAATGATGTAAGGCCTTTTAAATTGCTTAATCTTGTGATGGAATACTGTTGCTACTCTGGATAAAAATGATCACCATTTCCTTTCATATTTAGCATATGTGAAATGCAAAGATCAGTTATCTTTTAAGAAAGGGGAGAATATGTCTAAATAAAATAGAAATAGATATTCTGTGAAAATCTGGTGCAGACATGCATGTTTTTACATTTACTTTCTTATTTTTAATACTTTTACCATATGGGGCTTCTAAAACTTAGAAAAAAATGTGATAACAAGTCAGTTGACACATTTTAGCCCAAATCTCCACTCCATGTTCTGACTATTGATTTATTCCTGGAGTAGTTCTCATTATTCCAGAATTATGCAGTTGTAAGAGCAGTATTTTAAGATTATGCAAGCTTTTTTTTTTTAAGTCAAGACTAAATCCCAATGAATGGAAGTCATATTTGGAAAACTATATCAAATTCAGAGGGAGGGGGATTGCACAGAGTCTGAAGAGTTAAAAGCTCCTGAACTGAATTCCATCAGTGTCACTGATAACATATCGATGTAATTGACACACGATTTTGGACTCTAATTTCCAATAACAACAGTGAATATGCTGTCTGGTTGAATAGACACGAGGATAACATTTCTTTATAAAGTTTATTAGCTGAGTTCATTTCTGAAAGTGATCCTGGTTTAATTTCAGTTGTATACATGTGCACTGACGTCTATTTCTTTATACGCATGTATGAGTATGTGTTTAATTACAAGTTGTGAAGTTGTTATCATATTCAAGTCACTAAATTAAAAAATTAATCCCAGTCTGTAAGAATCAGCAGGACTGCTATTCCCTGAATTGAAATGATGAGTATAACCAGAATTGGGAAGATCTCTAAAAACAGAATAAACTCACAAAATGCAGCTCATACCCTTTTCTAAGAGATCTCTAAATGGGTGAAAGGCTGCATTTCCTGGATATCTAGCTTCTTTTCTCACCATTACACATCCAAAACTGTAAATTTTGTTGAGATTACTGTACGAGCACATACTGAATGAATCAAGTTTGTACGCAGTTAAGATACTCAAATACTGCACAAAGTGGTCAACAGTATGCTTCGTTCCAAAAATTAGAATATTATCCATCAGCTAGGCAAGTTTAAAAAACAGCAAATGTACTTCCCAGTTTTGTGATTTTTAAACTCATTTCACGCAACAGAGATTAAAGGATTACATCCTTGCTCTACATAGACACAGACACACATATTTATATATTTATACACATTTATGTATGTGAAGTTTCACTGCATACTCTTTGGATAGAAACAAGGAATTTGGTTGCTTTTTAGATTGTATTTTTCATGCCGTAACTCACAGAGAATCCTCTACATCCGAGTTCTCCATAGTCATCAGTCTAAAGTACATGCAACACATCTCTTTAATGGGATCTTTACATGTAGCACTTTATGTATTCACTGCCTGGAATTCTGACAGCAAAACGGGACTACTAGAGATCAAGACTGCTTTACTATTGATGTTGTTTTCTCAGCCTTTAAACAAGTTTCTAGAATAACAACACAAGCTGTTTTAAAAAATAACTTATTTTAGTACTGCAGCATAACAGCTCATATCCATAAAGAAATAAAGCAAAACAAGCTATTTACTTTGGCTTTACCGGCTTTTGTACAATCCCCAAGGGTATCATCTACCAGTTCCTACAATGCACGACTTGTCATGGAAATGCAGAAGGTTCGTTCCTACCTGGACTCTGGCCTCAGTGAGCTCTGTTCTCAGAGCTAGCTGTTCTCTTACATAGACATCGGGGTAGTGAGTTTTCTGGAATACTTTCTCCAGTTCCTCCAGCTGCAAACTGGTGAAAGTTGTTCTGTGTCTCCTCTTCTTACTGCTGGAGACATTGCTGTCACACTTATCACCGAGTTCATCCAGTTCCCCCTTCTCCTGCATCCCTTTCACGGGAGACATCCTGAGATTGTTGCAATTGTCCATGGGCCTGCTCAGCTCTGTGTGAAGAGGCTGTCCTTCCACTTTAGTAATCCCATAGTTCACTGTACACAAGGTGGGGGAGGGAAATAATGGGTTAAAGGGGGGGGCTTTCGATTCAAGGGTTCATATAAAACAGTTTCACAAGGAACCAGATTCTATGTGGCTGCGTATTTATATACAAGATCGTGGAGGAGGAATCTGTAATATTAACCACAGGCAGAGTAAAAGTACTAAACCACATTTAATTTTAACTGAGAATTGTATCTGAAAATATAATCTAAAATCTATCAGTGTAAGGAGGCTGTATGAGAGTACTTGATTATTTTCACTTTGCCACTACTGTAGTTAATAATCCGTGAAATCAGCTTCAACTAGACTTGCACAGATAAGGTATCTTAGACCAAACCAGATTTTTGTATAAGATAAGTGGCATTAAACTATTGACAAACGTGCCCTTTCAACTTGGAAGCAGATGTAAAAAACTCTATTTCTATGAAAATACAAAGTAACTGTGAAGAAAACTAAATAGCTGTAAACTGACAAATCAAGAAGCAAATGAAACCGAAAATTAAATTCACTTTACAAACTCAATAGATTCCATATACCTTTTCTTGGATTTGTAAAGTGGAATTGTTTCCAATTAAGTTTGTTATGGTTACAAAATACGGAGAGTTTCTGCAAAATGTTAACTTATTAAAAGAGAATGTTTCATATACTTTGAATAAGGATTGCAGGAACTATTTGTCTTTAGGTAAAATCTGAGTGGGAGAGATAAGAAATATTTCTCTATAGCTTCTTAATAAGAAATGAAAACATTTCCTATTTTTCCTATTTTTACATATCTCACACCACTGAAAACGTCATGCGATATATTACAAAATTCAAAAAGGCGTATTTTTTTCCCTCCCTCTCAGAAACAGGCAAAAAAAGTTTAAAACTCTATTGAAATTTAAATCTACAAAGATGGCATGTAACATAAGATAAGAACCTTCTTTGGGGATTTTCTCGAATTCTGAGTGATTTCTTTTCTTTCAATCCGAGTTGATTTTAACCAAACACAATTTTTAGATACTTACCATCAACACATCCATAGATAGGAAATGCCCCAAAGCCCCCAAGGCACGCATTAAACGAGCTAATTAAGAAAAACTTCAATATATAAATCAATTTTGTGTCGGTATTTTTTAAATTGCTCTTGCAGAAATCTGTCATTGTTTCTTACAAACTGTTTCATACAAAAAAAAAAGATGGTCTCAAAAAAAAAAAAAAAAAAAGAAAAATACTTCAGTGCCTACACGAAGTTAAAAATTGTAAGACTTTGTTAGTCTCAGTATTGCAGCTGATCTTAACCAAGTTTTCCGATTCTGCTAGGAAATTAGGGAATTTTTTATTATTTTTTTTTTCTATACATGATTTACATCACGTTGGAATAATGGGGAAAATTTAAAACGTTTCAAAAATAAAATATTCCACATTCTCCTTGCCGATCAGCTAGAAAATAAACAAACAAAAAAGTATCTATATAATATTTAACAGTGTTGCTTGAATTACCTAAATCGGTTTCGGTCCGCATGAAGAATCACTATTGCGCATTCTTCAGTCACACCAAAAAAAAAAAAAAAAAAACCAAACCAAAACAAAACACCCACACTATCCTCGCAGAGCGTTCTTTGAAAGACCCGAACATGACCAAGTGCCCTTCCGTCGGCACCCCGTGGCGGCACCTCGCCGGCCGGCAGCCTCCCGTGCGCCCTGTGCCGCGGCCGCCGGCCCCGCGGTTCGCCGGCTGCGGCCTCCGCGGCGCGCAGCGGGCGCGGGCGCGGGCGCGGGGGCAGAGGCAGAGGCGGGGGGACGGGACGCCGCACGCCGGCCCCGAGCCCCGCCGCCACGGGGGGCGGCCGGGGACCGGGACGGGGGACGGGGGGACGGAACGGCGGCCGAGCCCTCCCGCACCCGCCGGGCCACGCTCCGACCCGGCGGGCGGCCCTTCCCCGCGCGTTGTCGGTCCCGCGGGGCCGGGCGGGCTGTGCCTGTGTGCTCGGCGTCCCCCACGCCCCGCCGCTCCCGTGGCCGCGGCGGGGGCAAGGCGGGGGGAGCCCGGCCGGGGCCGGCAGAGAGAGCGGCAGCCGCAGGGGCAGCGCTGAAAAGCAAAGAGCGCTTCGAAGTAGGCGATCGCCTTCTCCTGATATTATTATTATCGTCGTTATTATTATCCTTTTTTTTTTTTTTCTTTTTTTTTTTTTCTTTTTTTTTTTTTTCTTTTTTTTTTTTTTTTCCCCCACTATCTGACAGCCCCTCACATGCCAGCACCCAAAGGCTGTGCAGCTGCCTTTTGGTGTCCCCAGGCAGGAGAAGCCCTGGCCTCCCCTGTACATCTCCAGGGAGGGCAAAGCGCAGGAGCGGGACTAACCCTGGCACTGCGACTCACCGTTGTTGTCCTGGCAGGGTGATGTCCTCTCCAGCCTCACATGATGCTCAGCCCTTTGCAGAGGGTTGAAGGCCTGCACACATTTGCTGCCTGACGTTTTGCTATAAAAGGACTCATTGTCCAAAGTTTCCATAACGTGCTCCAAAGTGCCTCCTGCTCCCATGTAAAAGTCACTGTTCTTGCTCGGCTGGCTCTTCAGGGCAAACTTCTCACTCAGAAAATCCATAATCATCTAAGGCTGCTTGAGAGCCTCTTCCCTAGACAGAGGCTGGACTGTGAGCAGGGGAGGGAGGGAGAGTGAGTGAGTGAGTGGATGGGAGGGAAGCAAGAAGGGAGGGAAGGTCGTTCAGAGCTCAGGGAGCTGTTTTGACTCTGAGCCTTTGATTTGTCTTGTCTTGAAAGGGGGAACCCGAGGTTGCTCTTATATCTCGAAGCTCCGCAGGGCTCCTTATGCAACCTCCCATTTCTAATGAATATGAAAATAGGCAAGCAGTGTAACTCCACCCCAGGTCCCCCAAGACCTAATCCCAACACAGGAGGGAGTTCCAGGCCCATTTTCAACAGACAGATCCGTTTCAGACATAAAGACACACATAGGCGTGTGAGGAGGGTGAGGGAAGACAGGGAGGGAGGACGCATTTAAAAGGACGATTCCCTTCTGCAGCCTATTCGCGTTTCTCTAAGGATCTTGGAAAGACTAACCCCTCGCTTCCCTCCCTATCCCCTCCAGCTCCCGGAGGGGTTTAGAGCAAGTCAATTTCAGGGACACATACCCTCAAGTGAAGGATCTTCTTTAATCAATTTGACTGATACATTGGGAGCTGCAGTCCTGGTCTCTAAAGCTGTGAAATTAAGAACTGGTACTCCTTCTTTATTAAACAGCTCAGAAGTTTAGTCCTAGAGTTAAAGAGAAAAAGAAATATTATGGGTGGTTGTTTGTGTAGAGGGAATGGAAAATAGAGGAACTTAAAACCAGAAATCTCTCACATCAGAAACCAGCCTAAAAGAGAATTTGGCTGCTATCAAACAGACTTCCAGTCCGCCTCTCTGTGTGTGTGTGCAAAGCAGTTGAAATGAGTCCTTTATTTGAAATCTCCTGAAATATTATCACTACTCGCTTGAGAAAAAAAAAAAAAAATACAGTTTCTAAATGAAAGTATTAAAACAGAGTCTTTGGTAATGAAAATAAAAAGAAATGAGCCATATATGCATGCATTCCTATGGATATTGAAAAAGTGGGTGGTTGTCACCCAAAGTGTGAGCTTTGATGTGTTGAATTCCTTGGTCCTTTTCCACATAGACAGGATTTAAAACACAGGTAAGAGAGAGAGAAGGAACTATTTAGAAAAGGCCCAAATTATGGAAAAGAGCTGCTCCCTGCTTCCCAGTGGAAGGAGTGCTTGTGGGAATAAAGGAAGACCAAGTCTACAATCACTTCAGTATTTCAGCATCGTGGGTCCGAGCTTGTCTGTTCTAGTAAGACTATTTTAGAAATCAGTTCAGTGGGCCCTTCCCCCATGTAGGGGGAGAATAAGTGGAGTTTTAATGAGCAGCTGAAGTAGGGGTGCGGTAAAGGCCAGCCGGGACTGCTGAGCATCTTAGAGAGCTTTCCTGTGAACCCAGCCAAAGGTGAGAAGGCCAGTTCAGGTCCAGCACCCTTTCCCGGCAAGCAGCTCCCCTCCTTCTTCAGCTGGTTTGACATTTTCCCTGAGGAAGGGGTGGCTAACTGGGGGCTGCTTCACCTCAGGCGTCACCCGACACAAACACTCCCCACCCCACAGAGCCGGGCTACCACCTCCGCATCTCCGTCCCGTTTTCCAGCCCGTTTACCTGCCCCCCCTCCCCATCCCATCCCCATCCCCCGGCTGCGGGAGGCGCGGAGTCCGGGCAGGCTGCCCCGGCGGCCCCCCCGCCACCCCCCCGGGGACGGTCGGCCCTGCCACGGGGGAGCGCGGAGGTGGCGCTCGGGGACTTGGGGTGTTTTCGGTGACGGGGGGTGCTGCTTTGTCCGCCTTTGGGGAGGGAGAGGTGGAAGGGATTCCTGAAAGCTCCTGGGGGAAAGGAAAGTGGAAGGGGAAGGGGAAGGGGAAGGGGAAGGGGAAGGGGAAGGGGAAGGGGAAGGGGAAGGGGAAGGGGAAGGGGAAGGGGCGGCGAGGACGAGCGGTGCCCGCGGTGCGCGGCCAGGTGCGGCGGGGTTCGGGCGGCTGCCGGGCCGGGATGAGGGGCAGGACCCGACCCCGGGAACCGCTTCGGGGGCAGTTCTCGTCCCTAGATTTTTCTTGAAGAAGCGACACGCTTCCTCCTTGCACCTTTTGGCTCAACGCCTGCTCCAGACTCGGGGAAACAGATCCTTTCCCTGCCCCTCGCCGCCCGCATGTCCGTGTGCTGGCGTTTCGGCAGCTTGTTTAGAACTGCGCCTTGAAAGCACTAAATGCCCTGGGGGAGGGAAAAAAAAAAAAAAAGAAAAAAAAAAAAAGAAAAGAAAGAAAAAGTCTCGGTGTCTTTTAAATGAAAGACACATGCAACGTTGTTGCAGACTGCAATCTACTTTTATCCCAATAAATGTCCCTCTTTAAAGGCGACTATTAAACTCCAGGGGAGCCGAGGACAAGGAGCATCCCATAAGCCTATTTGAAAAACAAACAAAAAAAACAAAAAAAAACCAAAAAAAAAACAAAACAAAAAAAAAAAACAGAGTTTTCGGCAGCAGCAGGGCTTTTTCTAGAGAGGCTGTCGGAAGCGCGGGTGCCCGCCCGCGGGGCCACGCGTGTCCCGCTGGCGGGGAAGAGCCGCCGCGGCGGCGGGGCTCACTCCCCCACGGGCGGCTTCGGGCGGCCGCGCACTCCGACAGGGCCGGTGCACCCCCCCATTCCCCCCCCCAGACCTGCCCCCCCCGCAGCTGCGGGCAGCTCGGCCGGGGACCAGGCTCGGCACAGGCGGCCGCGTCCTCTGTGCTTTTCCCTCCCCTGCTCCTCTGAGAAAAAAAAAAACCAACCACCCTGACTCCTCCCGCAGCATCTTCACCCCCGGTGGCGACTCCACTCCCTTCTCGCCTCGTCTTTGCAAAGCGCTCCCCGGCGCTGTGATTTATATACGCGCTTACAATATCTGAGCACTAAAGATAGAGAACGACACAAAATTATAACCAGATCCTAATAGCCGTCCCTTCTCCCCCGGAAAATAAATAGATAGATAGATAGATAGATAGATAGATAGATAGATAGATAGATAGATAGATAGATAGATAGATAGATAGATAGATAGACAGACAGACAGACAGACAGACAGACAGACAGATAGATAAATATCAGAGTGGTTCCACATCACTGTTAGCTCCGGGGACCGAATTCTGCTCTCATTTACCTCTGTGCAACCCAGCTGACTTCAAAGGCAAGGAGAGATGGAACCTAGGGGAGAATCGGCGCCACTTATGGCATTCGTTCTCCTTAAAAGCTGGAAAAGAGAAAGCTGACTTCAGCGGGCTAACACCATTTAAAAGGGGTTGGACAGATCCCGGGAGAGAAGGCGGCAAAGGGGGGGGAAGAAAAAAAAATCCTGTGCTGAGGTGAGACAGCTTTGAAAGGCATCTTTCTTCAGGGACTGATTCCCTCCGCCAGGCAGCCCGGTTATTAAGAGCTGCGTGCAGATGTGCCGCTGTGTTTCCAGAGATGGAGTATCTCCTAAACCTTCTGTGAAAGGGTGTTATGTGTGATGGAGAGACGTTTCGCGGCCAGAGGTGGTGTGAAGGAGCTCGCCCCGGCAGTGCATCGCAGCTCCTCGGGGGAAGCCTGTCCCCCGGGGGCAGCCGGGCGCGCACACCGCGGGGGGCTGACCCGCCTCGGCAACCGCGGGGCAACCCACGGGGAAACCTGCGGGGCAACCCGCGGGGCAACCTGCCGGGCAACCTGCGGGGCAGGCGGGTTGCCTTCCCCACCTCCGCCCGCGCATTCCTGCCCTTCCCGAGATCAGAAGTTACAGACCCAAGCTTTGGAATGAGGATCCCGCGTAAATTGCGAGCTGCTCGCCGCCGAAAAAAATGAGCGGTCTGAGGAGGAGGCGTTTGCCAGCCCGGTGCCGGCCCCGCAGGGTGCGGGACGAGCGGCCCCGGGCAGGGCGGCCGATCCTGGGGCCCGGCGGCTGCTGCCACTGCTGCTCTGGATGGCAGTTTCCAGCCGAAACGGTGCTACTGCGTGTTTGAGGGAGCTCCTCCGCACTTCTCACATTCTCGCGTTTGTTTAAATGAAGTGAGAACGGAACTAACACGGGCGAGGATCTCCCTTCCAAATGCCCAGGAATCCCCATCCCCCCCGTCCCTCCTCCCCATTTCTAATAGCGGTTTTTAACTATAGAGGTCAGGACACAGAAAAGCTATTTTTATTTTAAAATCTATTTCACACCGACACTTCTCTTCCCTCTAGAAAAGTTACAACACGAAATTTATTTAGGGACCGAATGGGAAGATACCGGCGCTACCTGGGAGTGGGCTAAACGAATTTTGGGGCTATTATTCACTTCCTTCCACATACACACACTCCAGTTACCCGGGAAAATAGAAGGGGAGGCTATGAAGATGAGAGCTGGGTGTTCCTGCGGGGGGAATAGCCCCCCTCAGCGAAGGAGGGCCGGGGGGTGGCTGTAGGGGAAGAAGGGGAGCGCTACATTTCCTTGCATGGGATCCAGCACCCCAACAGCCGCGGGGGAAGGAGGGTCCGTGAAACACCAAGAAAACTGTCTCTCTCGAAAAACAGGTGCTCCAGTGGCTCAGTATTTCCACGGTCCTTCTGTTTTCCTTGTTGAGGCTTTGCCTAGCTGCTCATTTCACGTTCAGACCCAGAGATTTTATTGCATTAGGTCGGTTCGGGAGTGGGGTTACAGAGAGACCCTCCGAGAGGCGAACGTCCCGGTCTCAGCCGCCCGGTCCTGGGAAACGACCGACCCGACCTGCGGAGGCGAACGAAGGTGTAAAAAGAGACCCCGCCACCCTCTCCACATCTCCCTCCCAGCGGAACGTGGCAAATTGCAAATTACAGATTCAAAATCTGGCTTGGCTAAGTTATAATTTTCCAGACATCCTGTTTGTGAGAAGAATCATGTGAAGTATTCTTACTGCCAGAAAAAAAAAAAAAAAAAAAAAAAAATGCAACGCATCTCAATGAACATGGAAGAAGTTGAGTTTTGAGGGATGTTAGTATTTGGATTTTTTTTTTTTTTAATTTATTTTTTTAAACTATGTTAACTATCAATATCTCAATGCCTAAAAGTGACGGCTGTGCTTCGTCTCTCCACAGCCAGGCTGCAAAAAGGTCCCGATCCAAGCCCCGTTTTACGAACTTTCTTCCTAAAGAGCAGGTTTTGTTCACCTAAG